ATGATGTTTTCATTCGTGTCATATGCATGTGAAAGCTGGACAAAGAGTAAAGAAGACCAAAGAAGAATTGATGCTTTTGAATTATGGTGTTAGAAAAGAATATTGACTATACCGTGGACTGCGAGAAGAACAGACAAACTTGTCTTGGAAGAAGTACAACCAGAATGCTCATTAGAAGCAAGGATGGCAAGACTTCATCTCACATACTTTGAACATGTTATCAGAAGGGACCAGTCCCTGGAGAATTACATCATGCTTGGTAGAGAGTCAGCGAGAAAGAGGAAGGCCCTCAATGAGATGGACTGACACAGTGGCTGAAACAATGAGCTGAAGCATAGCAATGATTGGGAGCATGGCGCAGGACGGAACAGTGTTTCGTTCCGTTGTACATAGGGTTGTTATGAGTCGGAACCGACCTGACAGCACCTAACAATGATTTTAATTTTAGCTTATTCCTCAGTCAGGTGATGTTTTAGTTTCCTAACACTGCCATAATAAAAATTACTACAAAGTGGGTGGCTTTAAAGAGCAGAAATTTATATTCTCACAGTTCAGGAAGCTAGAAGTCCAAATTAGGACTTCTAGAATGTCAGCTCTAAGAGAAGGTTCTTCTTTGTCTCTTTCAGCTACTCAATCCTTGGAGTTCCTGGATTTGTAGACGCATCTGCTACCATCTGCACTTTCCGTCTACCCTCATATGTGTGTCTCCTTGTGTCTATACTCCCCTTTATAAGACACTACTCTAAAGTGATTAGGTTTAAGACCCACCTTGTATTTCCTCATTAACATAAGAAAAGAGAAACCTATTCCCAAATGGGGTCATATTCATAGGTATGTTGTTGTTGTTAGTTGCCTTCCAGTCTACTCTGACTCATGACAACCTTATGTGTTACAGAATAAAACTTCTTCATAGAATTTTCTTAATGGAAACAGATTTTCAGGCCTTTTCTTTCATGGTACTGTTGAGGGGGTTGGAACTGCCAACTTTCAGGTTAGCAGTCAAATGCTAACCATTTACATCACCTAGGGACTTTATTCACAAGTATACCCCATTGCCGTGGAGTCAATTCTGACTCATAGTGACCCTATAGGACAGCAGAACTGCCCCATAGGGTTTCCAAAAAGCGACCAGTGGATTCCAACTACCGACCTTTCAGTTAGCAGTCTAACTCTTAATCATTTTGCCACCAGAGCTCCATTCAAGAGCATAGGGGTTAGGATTCTGTGTTGGTTATCTAGTGCTGCTATAACAGAAATATGACATGTGAGTGGCTTCAACAAACAGAAGTTTATTCTCTCACAGTCCAGTAGGCTAGAAGTCCAAATTCAGGGTTTCAGCTCCAGGAGAAGGCTTTCTCTCTCTGTCAGCTCTGGGGGAAGATCCTCATCATTAATCTTTCCCTGGTCTAGGAGTTTCTCAGTGCAGCGACCCTGGGTACAAAGGATGCACTCTGCTCCTGGCACTACTTTCTTGGTGATATTAAAAAAGAAAAAAAGAAAAAAAAAACCCATTGCCATCAAGTCGATTCCAATTCATAGTGACCCTATAGGACAGAGTAGAACTGCCCCATACGACTTCCAAGGAGCCCCTGGTGGATTTGAACTGCCCACCTTTTGGTTAGCAGCCGTAGCTCTTAACCACTACGCCACTCCTAAAAATGTATGTCAACTTGGCTAGGCCATGATTCCCAGTATTGTGTGATTGTCCACCATTTTGTCATCTGATGTGGTTTTTCTAGGTGTTGTAAATCCTACCTCTATGATGTTAATGAGGTGGGATTAGAGGCAGTTACGTTAATAAGGCAGGACTCAATCTGCAGGATTAGTTTGTGTCTTAAGTCAATCTCTTTTGAGATATAAAAGCGATAAGCAAGCAGAGAGACATGGGGGACCTCATAACACCAAGAAACCAGAGCCAGGAAAATAGCATGTCCTTTGGACCCAGGGTTCCTGAGCTGAGAAGCTCTTCGACCTGAGAAGATTGATGACAAGGACCTTCCTCCTGAGCCGACAGAGAGAGAAAACCCTCCCCTGGAGCTGGGGCCCTGAAATTGGATTTCTAACCTACTAGATTGGGAGAGAATAAACTTCTCTGTGTTAAAGCCATCCGCTTGTGATATTTCTGTTATAGCAGCACTAGAAAATTAAAACAGATTCCAACTTATCTTTCTGGGGGACACAATCTTATCCATAGCATGTGGTTATCTTTCCCATTTCTTTACTGCAGTATAGAGCACTTAGCTTTCTATAGGACAAAGAGAGGGAGACAAGAAAATCTAGTTGAACACTGAACTCCTGGGTTTGAGAGAAAAGTGGCTGTTTGAGTAAACAGACAAAGAAGCCATTTCCATTGTAATGATAAAGACCACCTGGTCTTTTATCTTTCTTTCTTTTTTTTCCTTTGCAGATTAAATAAGAGGAAATAGCATTGAAGTGAGAAATTTGAGAAACTGAATAGGAAAAGAGTAAAATTTCCACAACTATAAAGAATCTTCCTAGTGTTGGTCACAGGAGAAGAACAATGTGGGCAACATGGATGAAGACTGTCAGAGCCAAAGACAAGTTATCGGTGATGTAGTTTCTTAGCTATTTCTGGTGAAGAGATTTCATTAGATACTGAGTGAGGAGGAGCTACGCATAAATATTAAATTATTGCTGTGTTTCTTTATTTAATCTTAGATAAGTATGTCAAAATAAATGAATAGCCTTAAAAATAATTATTAGTAGAAGAACTGTTGCCAGTCATCTGAACACATTTTGTTGTTGTGTGCCATTGAGTGGATCTCAACTCACACTGACCCTACAGGACAGAGTAGAACTACCCCATAGGGTTTCCAAGGCTGTAATTTTTATAGAAGCAGACTGCCATGTCTTTCTCCCACAGAATGGCTGGTGAGTTCAAACCATCGACCTTTTGATTAACAGCCAAGCACTTAACCACTGTGCCAGCAGGGCTTCTTAAACATCTCCCCATAAACTAGCAAATACATTCCCTTCAGGTAACTTCTCCACCCACCTCACAATCTTCCCTGCAGATAGAGAAGCAGAGTTTGAGAGTAGGAGAAGGTAGGTTTTGGAGAATATCTGGTTTTGCCAGGTCCAACTGGAGATCAACGTGTGGCAAGATCATGGGTTGAACAGAAGTTTGTATGATACAGTTGCAAGGTATCTTAGTTTTCTAGCGCTGCTGTAACAGAAACACCACAACTGAGTGACTTTAAAGAAAAGAAGTTTATTTTCTCACAGTTTAGGAGGCTAGAAGTGTGAATTCAGAGTGTGGCTGTAAGGAGAGGTCTCTCTTTGCCTATTTCAGCTTTTACTAGCCAGCATTTCTTGGAGTTCCTGGGCTTGTAGATTCATCTGCCTCTGTCATCATCTGATAGCATCTTTCTTCCCCCGTGTCTGCTTCTGTGTCTAATCTTCTATTTTTATAACTCAGAAGTGATTAGGTTTAGGACATACCTTCCACTGATATGAGCTTATTAATATAACAAAGAAAACATCAACAGGTATAGGCGTTAGAATTCCATCACATATTTTAGGGAGACACAGTTCAAGCCATAACAAAGCTATGATTTATTAGGGTCAGACAGTAGTGGATTTCAGTCCTGGATACTCTATTAGCTGTGCTACATTGGAAAAATAATGTAACCCACTGGGAATATGTGATTTTTTAAAGTATAAAATTTTCTCAAATTTTAGAAGATATGAAGATATTAAATACATAAACTGCTCTTATGTTGTTGTTAGCTGTTGTCGAGTCTGTCCTCGACTCATGGCAACCCCATGTGCTACAAAATAGAATTGCTCCATAGGGTTCTCTTGGTTGTAATATTTACCAAAGCAGTTCACCAGGCCTTTCTTCTGTAGAGTCACTGGATAGGTTTGAACTGTCAATCTGGGTGTCAACCAGTTGCACCACCCAGGCTCCTCAACTGCTCTTCTACTGTCAAACAATTAATAAGCCTTTGAAAGCCATCTCTTTTGCCTTAATTTCTCTTTTGGAGTTACACTTAAACTTGATTCCAGGTGAAGCATTGCTATTAGTGTCTATGTCCTGCTATAGTGTAAGAACCAACTGCTAGTCTTAAAGCTACATGAGGCTAGGCCTGCTGTCTGCCTTGTTCACTGATTTATTTTCAGCACATAGAAAAAATCTTGACATACAACATACTCAATAAATGTGTTAAATAATTGACAAAATGACTGACTGAATGAATATGTTATCATAGATAGAACTCTAATTGGTATTATATACTGAAAAACTGTCTGGGCTTTATTACAAACTCTCCATCAGTTTATGGATCAACTGAGCTAATAAACCCTGTATTAGTTTCCTCACTGTAAAATGTATTGATGATAATAACCACCAATAGTAACCACCTACTTCAAAGAATTGTGTGGCAATCAAATGAGATAATGAATGTGGAAATATTTTGTAGCCCGCAATTAGCAAATTTTCATTGTTATTAGTATGAATGAATTATAGATTCACAGCAGGTTAAAATAACCTTTTATTAACTCATCAATTCTCCCCACTTTCACTATTAAATGCAGAGAATGCCCTCTGTCCTGATTCATGCAGCACATATTTAATAAGTAACTTCATCCACTGAGCTCAGTGAAGACAAAAAAAAGAAAAAATGAGTAGAATGGTTAAGTCATCCCTCCCTCAAAAGACAATCAATATTTGATAAGAGAGAATAACAGCAATGAAAAAAAAAAAAAACTATATCACATGTAAAGGCAATTAATTATGTGATATGAATAAAATGCTTGCACAGCATAAAGTGAAGAGCAATAAACTCTTCCTGGAAAAGTTTATCTTATTACTACTACAGGTACTGCTATTACTACTACCACAACCAGTATTAATAGCTATCCTTCATTAAGTGTTTGCTAGGTTTTGTGTTCTTTCCTAAGGATGTTATTTATATTCATTATCCTATTTAATCCTCCAATAAGTTGAAGAGACTATTCCCATTTCACTCATAAGAACAACTGAAATTAAGAACTATGTACAAGGCTTCAGAGGGAGTAGGAAAGGAGAAAGTATTCAAAACTACCTATGGGACCCAAAGCAAGTACATACTTCGTGCTTCACTAAGGAGACAACTTTAGGTCAAGACTTAGAAAGCCAACAGCATATTCTCAAGAAATTGAGGGGAAAACTCTCCAAGCAAAGGGAAATAACCTGAGCATAGATATGGTGTTTTGAAAGAAACTGGGATCTATACAGAATGATACGGATTTTAGCATGACTGAAGTGATGTGGAAATGGAGTAAAGTCATGAAAGACCTGGAGGTAGAAAACTAAAAGGGAAGAACATGCTAGACATTTCTCAAGCTGAAAGAACTGAAGAAAAAATTCAAGCTTTGAGTTGCAATATTGAAGGATTCTACATGGAAAATATTAAGTGATGCAGGAAGCATCAAAAGAAGATGGAAGGAATACACAGAGTCATTATATCAAAAAGAATTGGTCAATGTTCAACCGTTTCAGGATGTAGCATATGATCAGGAACCGATGCCACTGAAGGAAGAAGTCCAAGCTGAACTGAAGGCATTGACAAAAAACAAGGCTCTAGGAATTGATGGAATATCAATTAAGATGTTTCAACAAACAGAAGCAGCTCTGGAAGTACTCATTCATCTATGCTAAGAAATTTGGAAGACAGCTAGCTGGCTAACCCACTGGAAGAGATCCATATTTATGCCTATTATCAAGAAAGTTGATCCAACTGAATGTGGAAATTATTGAACAATATCATTAATACCACACAAAAGTAAAATTTTGCCGAAGATCATTAAAAAGCAGCTGCAGCAGTATAGTGACAGGGAACTGCCAGAAATTCAAGCTGGATTCAGAAGAGGACATGGAATCACGCATATCATTGCTGATGTCAGATGGATTCTGGCTGAAAGCAGAGAATACCAGAAAGGTGTTTATCTGTGTTTTATTGACTATGCAAAGGCATTTGACTGTGTGGATCATAATAAATTATGGATAACATTGTGGAGAATGGGAATTCCAGAACACTTAATTGTGCTCATGTGGAAACTGTACATAGAACAAGAGGCAGTCATTTGAAGAGAACAAGGGAATACTGTGTGGTTTAAAGTCAGGAGAGGCATGCATCAGGGTTGTATCCTTTGACTGTATCTATTCAACCTGTAAACTGAGCAAATAATCCAAGAAGCTGGATTATATGAGGAAGAACAAGCATCAGAATTGGAAGAAGATTCATTAACAGCCTGTGTTACACAGATGACACAACCTTGCTTGCTGAAAGTGAAGAGGACTTGAAATACTTACTGATGAAGATCAAAAACCATAGCTTTTAATATGGATTACACCTTAACATAAAGAAAACAAAAATTCTCACAACTGGACCAACAAGCAACATCATGATAAATGGAGAAAAGATTGAAGTTGTCAAGAATTTCATTTTACTTGGATCCACAATCAACACCCATGGAAGCAGCAGTTATGAAATCAAAAGACACATTGCATTGGGGAAATTTGCTGCAAAAAACCTCTTTAAAGTGTTAAAAAGCAAAGATATCACCTTGAAGACTAAGGTGTACCTGATCCAAGCCATGGTGTTTTCAACCACCTCATATGCATGTGAAAGCTGCACGACGAACAAGGCAGACCAAAGAAGAATTGATGCCTTTGAATTATGGTGTTGGCGAAGAATATTGAATACACCATAGACTGCCAAAAGAACTAACAAATCTGTCTTGGAAGAGGTACAACCAGAACGCTCCTTAGAAGCAAGGATGGTGAGATTACGTCTCACATACTTTGGACATGTTATCAGGAGGAATCTCTCCCTGGAAAAGGACATCATTCTTGGTAAAGCAGAGGGCCAGTAAAAAAGAGGAAGACCCTCAACAAGATGAACTGACACAGTGACTACAACAATGGGCTCAAGCATAACAACGATTATGAGGATGGTGCAGGACTGGGCAGTACTTCGTTCTGTTATACGTGGGCTCGCTATGAGTTGGAACTGACTCGATGGAACCTAACAACAACAACATGGAAGAAAATACAGGAAAGTCAAATTGGGCACAGTGGCAAAAGGTATTACAAAACTCAGGAGTTTGATTATTATTATAAATCAAGTGGTAAAGCTAAAGAGATTTTAAGTAGCATTTTCTTGTTAAGAAAGGGAATAGAGAAAATTACGTAGTAGGAAGGGTACATGCAATCTTGTTGCAACAGTCTAAATTAGAAATAATGAGAAAGAGAAGGCAACAGGACTTGAAAATAAAGAGGAGAAAATGAATTTGGAAGATATTTCTGAACTAGAAGCAGCCAAATTTGGTAACTTTTGGATTTTGTGGGGAAGGAAGTAAGAAGTAGAGTGAGGATGATACCAAGCATTTTAATCTTTAAGACTGGGTGGTTGATAATAACAATTAGTGAAACAGAATTAAAGGGACAGAACAGAATTCAAACTTTGTGAAGAAGATGAGTTCTGTTTTGGACATGTCAAGATTAAGGGATTTGGAGGCCATCCAGGTAAATAAGTTCCATAAATAGTAAGAAAGACAGCTTTGCAGTTTGGAAGGGAGACTGAGAAAAAATGTCCAATGACATCAGAAGTCCCTGGAATTAACAAGACCATCCAGGGAAAGTACATAAATCACAAAGAAAAGGGACTGGGGACATAGCAGTGAAGGCCATTGGCATTTAATAGCCTGCCAGAAAACAGAGACATCAATAAATAATTGTCAAAATAGCAGTCAACACTAGCAAGTGTTCAGAAGAAGTCCATTAAGATGAAGAATTAAAATAGGCCATTTAATTTACTTTTAGGGAAACATGTATAACATTAGCAAAAGGAGTTTCAGTTAACTAATGAGGGTGAATGTACGGAGGGAGCAGAGTGTTTAAGAGTTGATGGAGACTGAGACTCTAGAGTTTTTTTCAAGAAGTTTGATGAAAAGAGAAGACAGATTAAAAAGTAGCTAGAAAGAAAAAAAAAACTCTAAGGGAGAATTGTTTTAAGATGAGACATGAGAATATTTGTATTTACTAAGTAAAATCAAATGCAATGGCTAAAATTTTTTTTTACCATATTTGACCCACAAAAATGGCAAGTGGAAAAATAGATAAAA